AATATTGAGCTGAACATTGCAGTATGTCAAAATCCCGAAATATTGAGCTGAACATTGCTATATGTCAAAATCCCAAAATTTTGAGCTGAACATTGCTGTATGTCAAAATCCCAAATGAATAATATAAAGTGAAAGTAATTTTAAAAGAATGGCTGTTCTAGGGGAGTGCGAGGCATCACACTGAATAGAAATTTTTGACTTTTTATGATTGTTTTTCCTGGTGAGATTTTCTTTTCAAAATGATGCTGGTTATTGTATAGTATAATCTTGAGAATTTCCCAATGTTTTCGGGACCAACAAGAATCTGAAAAATGTTATCTACCGTGCGACCTTCCCATGTGTCATCTCTGTTGATAAATTTGGGGCTGGCGACATGATTGTACAGTGTAACTACCCCCTCCTAAGAGGGAAGGAGGTTAGTTACACTGTGCAATTATAGGGGCAGCCAGGGCCGGGATTTAGATAAAAGAGGCCATAGGCCAGGGATGGGCAAACTACGGCCCGCGGATAGAATTTTAATTTGTCGGTCCGACGCAAATTAAAAATATATAGCAGTTGTTTCTAAATATGCCAAAGTTAGACTTTTTACAAATCATTATCGAAAGTAAGTTTCCCAAATTTAATATCTCATGCCCAGAAAATCAGTGCCATGTTTGCTTCATCTTATATATGTGAACAAGTGTTTTCAACTATGAACCTGAGAAAGGATTATTTCAAAAGTAGACTGACATATGAGCATTTAATCTCGTTTTTAGAATCAGCACATCTCACTTCGAATCTCAATATAAGGAACTTTTAAAAATGAAATCGCAATTTCATTCATCTCATTAACATATTTAAATTGTAATACTTGTATATTGTTCTTAAAATGTTAGAAAATTTATCTTGGTCCGTCACACTTTTTTTTTTTAACCACCGCGAACGAAAAAAGTTTGCCCATCCCTGCCCTATGTTATTCCACTTATGAGGCCCTTTCACCTCCCATTTTTAAGTTTGTAAATTACTTATTATGTTTGTTTATGAGTCTTATGTGTAGAATTTCTCCTTACTTTCGATTCAGTGTTTTAGTGCTTACTGTTTTTAGAATAGTGTCATTCTAATTTTGCTAACAATTTGAATGTAGGCCCCTCTTGATCTTGAGGCCCTAGGCTGAAGCCTCATTAGCCTATAGGAAAATCTGGCCCTGGGGAGGAGCAGTTACACTGTATCTATGATATAGCTGCATTCTGCTATTTAAATTATAAATGACATCCGATGAAGACGTCCATATGAAAATTTAATTTTCCCCAAATGAAAATATTCTTAAAAAAAAAAAAAAAAAAAAAAAAAAATGGAGATTACGAGTTTCAAATACTTTTAAATAATATATTCTGCTATAATATATATATATATATATATACATTCTTATATATTTAAAAATGATTAAAATATCATTTTTAATTTTATTCAGGGAAAGCATTAATGAACGAGATGAATTAGAATCGGGAAAAAAAAGAAACAAACAAAAAAATTACATTTTTGAATCATGTTTAAATTCATAGCGGCATTTACTATTTTGAATACATCATTAAAATATTCAAGGTCAAATAAAATGTTACTGTAATTTGATGTTTTTAAATATTAACTTGAGTGGTTCAAACAGTCGCACATGAACATGATATTGGTAAATTTGTTATCAACGAAATTATTAAATGATTTAAATGATGATGATTAGTATTTTATTTTTTTTTATTAAATGAAAAAAAAAAATAACGCTGTATTTGATGTATGAAACGAAAGAGCCCTAGAATACGTTGAATGACAATTGTTTAATTACATAAAAACTTTATATTATGCATAGAGATATGCAATGTAATTTTTTTACTTCAATGCACGGACAATTCTCACTGTTGTTTTCATTAAAATCCCATAGCATATTATGTTAATTTTGTTTAATGAAGTTTTAGTAGTAATTTACCTGTACCTGTAGTAATGTAAATATACATATAATAAATAATATATATATATATATATAATAAATAATATATATATATATACATATATATTATATATATATATATATTATATAAATATATATATATATAATATAATAATATATATATATATATATATATATAATATATATATATATATATATAATTAATAATTAAAGACAAAATTTAGACGAATTACTAACGTGATAATGAAAAGCAGTCAACTATGAGCAGTCACTGCTCATATTTTTTTTTTTTTTTTACATATATAATTTTTAATGTGATTCTTTAACACTATATATTAACAGGAAGGGAGGTGGTGTTGCTGATTTAAAAAAAAAACACCAGAAAATCATGAGACACATGCATTAGTTCATATTATCTAATTAACTGGAGAAGGATAAATCCGTATGTGGGATAGTCATTTTTTTTTTTTTTTTTTTCCTTTTTGATAAAATGCATTTACTTTCTCGGATATAAAACATACATAACACATTATGTAAAAAAATAAGCATCACTTACCTCTATCATCTTCCTGGTCCTCTTACAGGCAGCTGCCGAAATAAACTTGATCATGGTCAACAAGTCCGCACCCGCCACGGCCTGATTCACATTTACTTTTTCCGAAACATCGGTGAACAAGTTACACCCCATGTACTGGTACGATAGGTTCCCTACAGTTTTTTTAAAATTATCCATGCTTCCATAACTGAGCTCTTCCAGTACAATACTGAAAGTCTTCTGCCAGTCTCTGGCGTAATCCAGGACGTAAACAGAGCAGGGGACGATACCCAGGACTGAGATGAAGGCCCCCAGTACGCCGACGACATCCGTTCCTGGACCACCCCCCAGACTGCACAGGGTGATTCGATTTTTCGAGTACAGAGCGTTCGAAATAACATCGCTGCTCTCAAGTGCATTCGTCAACACATCGCACACCAAGCCGGTGTACAACAGGGCGTACTTGTGGACGTACGCGCATCTATGCGCCGGGTTGTTGTACCCCGCGACGGATACCGTCTCGTCTGTCTTCCATTTTCTTGGCTTGTACACCTCTTTCATGTCATTGATGGCGAAGCGAATCTCTTTCTGGTCCACATTGTAGGTCTGCCTCTCTCTCTTGAGGACATCATCGTAGAGTTTAATGAAAAACGAACTGTAATCGTAACCCATATTTATCTTGTGCGGCGGAATGGTCCTAGACAATTCGATTTTGGAAAGACAAATTGTTGTTTACACGCTAGTCGGACGAAACGCTCGCGACCGCTAGCATCCCCAACTGCACGATAACAAACCGACCGCACAGCTTGTTGCTAGGTTGGCTGTCTAAATCCTGACCCGCTGCACTGGAATTCGTCAGCATCTGAGCAGTTCCGTGTTGACTGTTTTGTGTTTCTCCGCGCGCAGTGTTACGCGCAATCTCAGTACACAGGGGTTGCTATTATTATTATTATTTAAAAGTTTTTTTTTTATATTTACGTAGTATTATTTTTATTTCTGTTATATTTTACTGTCAAAAACATGTTCCGTTTAACAGTTAATCTACACAAAATAGATGTAGTTGTTGCTAATGGATGCATTAAAATAAATTAACATGTCAAATATAAATATATAAATATATATATAGCGCTCTGGAACTCGGTACTATACTACTCAGTACAACTATTTATACAAAGTAATGATGAGTTATTTTTGTGGGGTAAAGATTATTATTATTATTATATATATATATTTTTTTGCTGGTAATAACTTAGTACCTGATGGTCGAGTGGCTGGCGCTCGGTGTGACGGGTTTCAGGTTCGAATCCCGGCTTTGCAATGGATGTTTATAGTAGTTGAGATCACTCTAAACCGTAGGTCCCGGTCCTAATAGGATCGCAGGCGTTGTGGGGATAGTGTTACTCACGACTATTATACCTTCAAGCTACACGTGCTTCCTGTGCCAGTGCTAAATGGCAAACAGCACATATCCTTATACTAACAGTGATCCTCATTCCAATCAATTAATCCAACAGTAATCCTTATGCTATGAGCAAGGGCTGCACCCCTTGCTTATGACATAAATTAACTGTCTGTATTATAGCTGCATTAGAACAACTATATATATATATATATATATAACAATATATATATATATATATATATATACCTCACATGTCGATCCCTCATTTTTGATAGCAGTGACTGTAGAGCCAGTTCTCCTGCACGATAACTGCACCATCACTGCTGGTTCAACACATATTTGTGTTGTAATTTTTATTTTGAGGCATCAATTTTATTAATAAGTTATTTAATTAATTAATCATTTAATTAAAAAAATTACTGAGTACAAACTCTTTAACTGATTGTTTTTCATTTTGTTATTTCAAAAAACACCCCCAATATTAAAAAACTTATTTGATGGGGGAACATTATTTGAATTTATTTGATTAATTTTATATTACATTATTATTTTTATTATAGATAAATAAATTAAAAATGTGACAGAATTTTATGGTTTCATGGAGGGTTTAATTTTTTTTTTTTTTTACGGTTCATAGACAAGTTATAATTGTACATATTCTTATACATTATGTACATATTCAATTATTATGCATATTATTGTTAATTATGCCCAGCCGCGAACCCAGGAAGTTGTTGTCGTGTCTTGAAGCTCCCGCAAATAAAAAGTTTAAACTTGTTCCCATATAGGCCTAATCGGGTTTTTTTTTTTTAATGTTTAGTATTTCAGTGAATTAAAGTCCTTATCATTGTTGTTTGTTGTTTCTTATCCCACTTGGCAGGCCAAGCCTATACGTACTCATGATTGAAGGGAAGGAAGCAGCTTCTGTTGTGATGGAGCACCCGTAGGTAGAAGTCTGACTTTGGCTCCGTGACGCTCTTACAGTCATAGGAGACCGGGAACTACGGTTTAAAGAGGATTCGAACCACTACAAACATCCATGGCACCACCGGGATTCGAGACCCGAAACCTGTGGCACCGAGCGCCAGACACTCGGCCATTCAGGTCCCAAATGTGTGAATGCCAACGGTGCCCAGGTGGTCACCCCCCGCCCAAGTACTGACCGCGCCCAATGATGCTTGACTTGGCTGATCTAACGAGAACCGGTATATTCAGCATGGCAAGGCCGTTGGCTTCCCTTAAATCGCGCCTGAATCGAAGGATGGAGTCTTATTATTATCTTGTTAAGTAGTCGTCGAAATATCAAGGTTAACAGAAAACGATGAGCAGGCAAAAGTGAAAAGAGGATTGAATTTTAATTTATAATCTATTGACTGCAATTTTTTTCGGTTTTAGAAACTAAATTTTTATTTTATTTTTTACTTTCCTCTTCTTTATGTATTTTTGAACCAAATGAGTACAATAATTATTATGAGTGCAATAGTTATTAAATGAGGGCATTATCTATTACAGTAAAATAATGTTGTTGTTTATACAGCAGCTGGCAATACAGAATTTAATCTTTATGCCATAAGCAAGGGCTGCTACTCATTTAACATTACCCAGGGGACACGTGTAGCTACGGACGCGACTAACACTACCCCACAACGCTCTACGATCCTATTAGGACGGGGACCTACACTTTAAAGTGAATTCGAACCACTGCAAACATCCATGGCACTGCTTGGACTCGAACCCAAAACCTGTGGAATCGGCTCAGCCACTCGGCCATCAGGCAATTTTTTCTTTTTTTTTTTTTTAGAAACTAAATTTTATTTTATTTATTTATTTTTTTTTTATTTATTACGTTCCCCTTCTTTATGCATTTGAACTAAATGAGTGCAACGTAAAAAATTATTATACTAAAATAATTAATTATATGAAAACTTCGACGATAAGTTTTTATTAATTCTAATTTCGTATCACCTATTGATCTTTCATACACCTTTATTTTGTTGACTCTACCCCTCCCTCCCTCTGACAATATCCTGGGTGCGCTCTGATTTGAGACAGGGTCCATCCATTTCAGGAAAACAGACCTATAAAAACAACATTAGTAACGCATGTTTCGCTTAATAGAGATGTTAAATTACAAAGTTTTAATTTTCGTAGGAGAGAAGAACTCAATTCTTCAGGGTATTTTTTATTCAATTCCTACTACTAGTTCACACTCTCCTATATATATGTCTTGTTCAAATTTTCAATCGTTCATAAAATACTTTTTATTCATCCACTCAAGTTCAAATGCATTCTTTTTTTTGAACTTGTAGTGGATGACACTGAATGTGAATACAGTTTTTTCAAATATGAATACATTCATTAAATTTAATTCATTAATTTTAGTTTTTATTTGGGGGAAATATTCATATATTCACGCTGCTCTTTCTTCTCATTTGCTCATCATTAAATAATTAATAATTAGTTAATAATCTCTTTTTCTCATAACTAATTATTAATTATTTTATTCATTCAATTATTAATTATTTTTATTCTTTTAATTATTAATTATTTTTATTTTGTTATCAAATATTTTTTATTATTCATTTAATATATAATGTTCAATTTTTAAAATAATGTAACTACAAATTGGCAATAATATAAAAAATCGTCTGATTTTGATTTAGCTTATTTTTGGAAATTATTATTCTTCATTTTTTACGTTTGAAATTTGAAACGATCGTGTTTGAGTATTCTTGTTAAGGTATTCTATATTTTTTAATTTTAAATGATCAAAAGTTTTTAATTAAATTTGAAATATAGCCTAATATATTTGCTTTTATTATTTTGCTGTAATTCGAGATTGCTGTTCTTTTTTTTTTTTTTTTTTTCAATTCCTTCTATTAGCTCACACTCTCCCTATATATATCTTGTTCAAATTTTAAATCGTTCATAAAATACTTTTTATTCATCCACTCAAGTTTATTTGAACTTGAGTGGATGAATAAAAAGTATTTTCTCATTTTTATTATCTCCTGATTTTTTTAACTTGTAGTGGATGACACTTGGTGTTAATACAGTTTCTTCAAATATTGAATCAGTAATTAAATTTAATTAATTAATTTTAGGTTTAAGTTGCATATATCTACCAATAGATGGCGCCAGATAAACTTTAAAAAATGAATGAAAATTATTGATAAAGGACCTCCTGCAATATAGAGAAAAAAAAAGTAGGAATTGACTTTAAAATTTTTTTTATATCACTTGTTTATTTTCATTTCCTACTATTAACTCACACTCTCCCTATATATATCTTGTTCAAATTTTCAATCGTTCATAAAATACTTTTTATTCATCCACTCAAGTTCAAATACATTTTCTTAAACTTGTAGTGGATGATACTGAATGTGAATACAGTTTTTCAAATATTAATTCATTCAATAAATTTAATTAATAATTTTTAATACTTTAAATATTCTAATGGAAATTGAAATCAACAAGTAGTAGCTCAATCGATAAAATGCAATGATTTCAGTATTTTTTACGTGAAGGTGAAGAATATGAGTTCAATTCTTGCGAAAACCAATAAATTTTGGAAAAATTTTGCTTTCAGTAGACGTTTTTATCCAAATGATTTTGGTGAGTGAGTTAGCAGTTGTGGCTTAGTGGTTAAAAGGGAGGAAAGTTTTCACAAAAAATAAAATTGAAGAAATTTTAATTTAATAAAAAAGTTACTAAAATAAAATTTTTATTTGTTGACTAAGTAGGAATTGATTTTAATTTTTATATACTACTTGTTTATGGAAAACTAGTTAGGCATTTCACTGCAAACCACCACTTTTTAATAAACAAAGCATTACGAAACGCCGCTGCAATTGCCAGTCAGCATTCAGACGCTCACACGAGGAAGTTAGTTCACTTTTTCTCTCAGCTCTCTGAAAAGGGAATTCCCGTTTTCACAGCTGGTTTCAGCTCTGTGGCGCATGCGCAGTTCTTGTGGAACGGATAGTTTCCTTAAAACACCGAAATTTTTTGTATGTACTTTATTTATTTCTTTTTCTTTTCTGTCTGGAAATATTCATTATTTATACAAAAGTAATGATGATTTATTTTATTAATAATAAATAAATAAATAAAAAAAATATAAATAAATAAATAATAATAATAATAATAATAATAATAATAATAATGCCAACGGCCATACCATGCTGAATATACCGGTTCTAGATCAACCGAAGTCAAGCATCATTGGGCGCGGTCAGTACTTGGGTGGGTAACCACCTGGGAACACCGCCTGCCGTTGGCATTCACTAATCTGGGACCTGAATGGCCGAGTGTCTAGCGTTCTGGCGCTCGGTGCCACAGGTTTCGGGTTCGAATCCCGGCGGTGCCATGGATGTTTGTAGTGGTTCGGAATCCACTTTAAGCTGTAGGTCCCGGTCTCCGATGACTGTAACAGCGTCACGGAGCCAAAGTCAGACTTCTACCTACGGGTGCTCCATCTCAACAGAAGCTGCTTCCTTCCCCTTCAATCATGAGTACGTATGGGCACGTGGGCTTGGCCAGCCAAGTGGGATAAGAAACAAACAAACATAATAATAATAATATTATTTTTAATAATAATAATTTTAAATAATATTTATAATTATATTATAATTTTAAATAATATTATTATTATTATTTTGCTGATAATAACTTTAGCCCACCAGTCAAAATTTTGTCAATAAATCGAGTCAAAATTTTTTTTTAATAAGATTTTTGGAATTTTTAAAAATATATTTTAAAATTACGTTGTAAAACCTTATAAAAGTATAAAGATTAAAATTCATTTAAAAATATTTTTTAATAAAATTTGGAAAAAAAAAAAAAAAAAAAAATTGTCAAAAATAAGTATTTTTCACCTTACTGAAATACTCTGAAATAAAAGAATCTCTTAAAAACACATCATCATCATCAACATCAGTGACGGAACAGCCCCATGGTGGGCGAAGACTACGGGCCATGGCCGTCTGCCTACTGGCGGATTTCGAGACAGGGGATGCTTCCCTTTTACAGGGTAGAGTTGTCAGCCCTACGCCCAACAGTCATATCAGACCAGGACCTACGGCTTTAAGTGGATTTCGAACCACTACAAACACCCATGGCACTGCCGGAACTCGAACCCGAAATCTGTGGCTTCCGAGCGCCAGAGAGCTAGTCACTCAGCCATCAGCCCCTCCCCCAAAAAAAAAAGATTATTATTATTATTATTATTAAAAAGATTATTATTATTATTATTAAAAAAAGATTATTATTATTAAAAGATTATTTTTATTATTATTAAAAAGATTATTATTATTAAAAGATTATTTTTATTATTATTATAATTAAAAGATTATTTTTATTATTATTATTATTAAAAAATTATTATTATTATTTTTTATTTATTTATTTATTTATGTATTTATTTATTTTTCTGATAATAACTTAAGCCCACCACGTTTCGAGTCAAAATTTTTAATAAGATTTTTTTTATAGAATTTTTTTTTTTTTTTTTTTTTGAAGATATCGTAAAATTAGGTTGTGAAACCGTAGAAAAATATAAAGATTAAAATTCAATCATGGATATTTTTAATTAAAATTTGGGGAAAAAATTTTAATAAAAAATAAAATTTTTTTTTGAATTTAATTTTACATTTTTTTACTTGACGGTACACTTTTAACGAAATGAATATTTAAAATGCAACACATTTATTTGTATCAATGTCATCCGTTAATTCGTTATCAATGAACCAAAAGAATGGTAATATTCTAAATTACATCACACTGAGAAATTCAGATCTAAAATACAAGAAAATAAAAGTCATTTTTAAAAATAAAAATGCAAAAAAATGCAAAAAAACTCATTACTAAATGAATATACTTAAAAGCCTTTCGATTCAATGTATGGGTAACATCTGTAAAAAGACAGAGTGTACAATTCCATTGAATTCTGAAAATGACTGTTACAGTATGGAGGTGCAGCCATAATATTGATTTTCTGTAATGTGAATTCATGAATTCGGTATTCAAACAGCTCGTGATGAGAACAGCTGCCGCTCGACTTTTAATGACTCTGGAAAAACTGTATTCAAGAACTAAAGGCGTGGTCTTTAAAATAAACGAATAAAAATTTTTATCTATTTTCACGGAAATGGATTTAGACGTGGTCGGTTTACCTCACGTAAACGAAGGATATAATGGATATATTAACATAATAATATAATGATCATTTA